CCCAATGGACATAACACAACGTTGTATGTCCAACACCATACTTGACAAATATTTGTGCAAATGCTCAAAGTGCACAGATGTACCTGAAGCTAACTCAACTTTATAATTCACTTTAACTAGTTTTTTCTGCCCTTCCCCACCATTAGTCCAAACTAATGTTTTATTATACTTCCAAGAGCATACTTTGTACCCCTTTATTATCATTTACCAGTGTATTCACAGTAAAGGTAAAGTACAAAGGTCTGCCATGCACAGACAGTGATCTGAGGTGTTCGAGCCCACCCCCCTCCAGGACCGTGCCCATCGTGCTCAGTGCACACTGTGAGGCTCTGTCCTCGCCAAGGGGATGGCAGCCCACTCGCTTCCTTCTGCAGCTCAGGACAGAGAAAACCTAATCCATAAGATGTCCATTCTGTCACAGGCATTATTTTTAAAAGATTACAAAGACAGGCCATTCTGATTAGGATAAAAAAATAAAGACATGTAATTTTTAGTTTATTTCTCCAGTTCAGTCAGAACTGACACCAAACATCTTTGACAGCACTCCATTACCTGTGCTCAGTCGTTGCTCAGCACATTACCTGTGCTTTCACTGAATCAAAATTTTGGAATAATGACTTATAAGGTCATAACTATCTTTGAAATTAATCAGCTTACTGAGCAATTAAATACACATCCATACACATTCACATTTAACTACAGCTATAAATATGATATTCCTAATTTCTCCACTTTCGATCTCAACACATTAACTTGTAATAACAAGATACAGTTCTAGTACTGACCTTCTAATTTGTTGTATGGTCCTAGACAAGCCATTTTACATCTCTGCTTCCACCACGTCTAACAGAGATAATGATACCTTTTTTTAACCTATTTTATAGGTAAGTAGGCATAAGATTTATGTGAAAACATTTTGCTAATGTTGCTAATCAAACACAGGTAAAATATATAAGGTTTTATCATATTAACTACTTTCTAATATTTGATTTGTTTTTATAATTTAATCAAAATAAAGACATTCTTTCAGAACTACAAAATTCAGCAGTTACACAAGGTGAATTAAAGTAATAAATCTAGTCATAATAATAAATGCATTCATCCATGTTCTCATTTAATTACATTAAGAAACAACAATTATAAAAATAGGTAAAATGTTGTGAAAATATTCCTATTTATTCTCGCTTAGAGGAGTTCATGCCCATATCAATGGATTCTCTGGCATCAGACACAGCATCAGGTACTCGAACAGTCATATTGTCCATAGCCTTTGTCAAACAGATTTGGCAGCCCAACCGCGATCTGTATAAAAAAGGGGGGAGGTATGATTTAGTATTAAGTTATGTTATTCACAAAGCAATGCAGTTACCAGGACCTTTTCTTACCCAAAGCATAGGGATTTATTTACCTTTTAAATTTCCATTAAGTAGAAAAAGATACATCCAACCCTTTCAACTAGAGGATAACAGAATGTAAATATGAAAAACAAAAAGTGTGATACGCCAAAGCTTCATTTTAATCTTTCTACTAATTGTTTCACTGGAACTACTGCTTTTTGGTGACAGGACTGACAAGCAATGAAATGATGAGAAGGCACAATAGTGGAGGAGAGAACTGAGGTTTTACCAATGCCAAGAGAATGACTAATCAATTCCCAGATAATTAAAACCATACAGTCTATGAAAGAAAGCTACACTTTTTAAAGCCTTTAAAACAAGAAATTTGGAATAAACACATAGATGTAAGTCATCAATTATCAGATGCATATTTTTCCCACAATTTTAACATCTCTGAAACCAAATGCATCTTAAAATCAATGCCATCTTATAATCACAGCTACACTATGAGGTGGCAGTCACATCAGAGGTGTCTCTTCAATTGAGTTATGGGAAGTATGTTAATATTATGTGTTGAATTTCATTACCATTCAAAATAAGTCCAAAAAGATTACAAAACAAAAGTTAACAATACAGAGACCCAGCATAAATTGATATTAGGAAAGTAAATATTTGTCATTGGAAGAATAACTGTAATTCCATTTTATTTTTTTCAGTATTATGACCAATTTTATTTATATTTTCCTTTTAAAACAGTGATGTACAAATCTGTCTAAATAGCTCTAAATCTCAGTATAAATAGCTCTTTCAGTATGCATAAAACGTTAAGCGATAAGATCATTTTACACCATATTTTAATCAGCAGAGCTTTTTCCTTCTTAATGGCACATAAAAATAAATACTATATTAGTCTTATAATTAAACTGCCTTCAATTTGATGGAATGTGGTATGTAGGTCTTGGTTTTGTCAACATATTCGTCAAGCACCTGCTGAGCATCAAAAGGCACAGAACTAAATGTCAGTGGGTTTGCAAAAGAACAGCAACTCACTTCGATCCTTACTGAACACCTCTTACATGCTGGGTGCCAGGGATACAGAGGTTAGAGCCAAACAGACCAGTGGTACAGAGTCCAGCACTGAACTTGATGCGTGCACAAGCAACTTTCTTAACCATGCCAAATATTAGTTTCCCAACCTCATCCTAAACATGGATAATAAGTGGGTTCCTCACAGGACTGCTATGAGGATTAGTTGCTAATATCAGTATTAAGGCATGAACTTTCAATAAAATAGAAGAGCTGAGACACATCTGCAGATAATTAACATGTGAGACTGTGACAAATGCCACAGAGAGAGAAAGCTGAAAGGGCTGAGGAGAAAGCACTGACTTCTGACGGGGGAGATGGTGTTTCTAATGGGCTTTGAAGGCTGGCTAGAGCTTAAGAGGAGAAAGGCATTTGAGGCAAAGCTAATAGGGATTCAAGGCATGTTTGAGGCAATATGGGTTTCTGGCCTGGCTGCTATGCAGGCCAGACGAAGACAGGGGAGTGATGGGCTAGAAAGGTGGCCAAGCCATGGACAGCTCTGAACACCAGTGAAGGGTTTCAGGTTTTTACTGGTGAGCAATGAGGGACCACTGGGAGGTTTCTGAGTAAGGAGTAAGTACTACTGCCATGGGAAATATTGATTGCTGATAGGAAAAAAAACCCTTTTACCAATAATTCCTATTTGTTGAATAGAAACAGCCCTGACAATACTCAATTATGCATTAAGCTCTGTCTACAAGAGAAAAAATAAGGCAAGCCAATTTAGACAAATTCATTAGGACTGTGGTGAGCCCTAGAGAGACTGTTGGTTACTCTTGGTGCCCATACAAAGATGAGTAGGGTGATGCTAGCCGTCCATACAAAGATGAGTAGGGTAATGCTAGCCTTCAAGGAACTTTTAGTAAGGGGAACAGGACAGAAAGAGCTACCAGTGATACAGGGCAGAATAAAGTAAGTGTAGTAACAGAAGAACAAGAACTGTGTGGGGGAACACAGGGAGGGGTGGCACCGAAAGCCCTTGCTGGTTCTATAACCCTAGAAGATAAGGCAGTGGCACTGTGGCTGTTCTCACTCCCCTACTTCCTCCTGGAAGGTCTCTGGCTCTAGGGTCTACCAGTGTAGAAAGTGTCTTACACCTCTACAGAAGGAGACAGACAGCAAGTCTTCCTTGATTTCACTATTAATCCTACAAAATCTCACACTTGTGCAAACCTTGAAGACATTTTCTCCATATACACCTGACAGTGGAAATATACTAGGTGTTACATTAACTTTACTTCTAAAGTTTGGTTTTCAATGCAGAGAAGAAGCTTCAAATAGTCAAAAACCAAGGGTTTTGGGGTCTAACGTAACTGATTCAAACCAGGGCTCTGTCATTCTCTAGCTGTTTGGCCTTGAGCAAATCCACAAGAACTAAGCTTTGTTCTATAAAATGGTGATAATACTGCCTAACTCTGAAGGTTAGAAATAATCTTTGTTAAGTTTGTAGGCATTATAGTAAGTTTCCGGCATTTGAATTAATATTATTATAGTCAGAATGCCAACAACAACCATTTAATGAATGCTTTCTTCACCAGACACTGTTCAAGGAGCTTCACGTACATTTATTAGTTGACATGACACAGCAACCCTATGAGGTAGGTACTATTATTATCCTCATTTTACAAATATGGAAACTGAGGCCTCTGTGTAGATTATCCATGGAAACCGGTAGCAGGGAGCAATGACAACCATCAAAAATAGATTCACAGATAATTCCTGAATCTCTCTACCAACCACTAATTCCAAAAACAGTTGGTGACACCTTTTGTGAATCAGGCACTGGAGACACAATGATGAAATAAGACATGGCCCCTGCTGTAATGGGGAAAAGGAGACATGTAACCAGTAAAATAAGTGCCATATGCACCTGTGTATCAACAAGCCATCATTAATCAAGGTTAAGTACACCCTAAAATAAACATTAAAATGATGCTGTTTTATCTTAAAAATTATAGACATTTACATAGCACTTAATTTAAAAAATAAACCTATGGGACTGCCCTGGTGGTCAAGTGGTTAAGACTCCACGCTCCCAATGCAGAGGGCCCGGGTTTGATCCCTGGTCAGTGAACTAGATCCCACATGGATGCCACAACTAAGAATTTGCAAGCCACAACTAAAGATCCCACATGTTGCAATGAAGATCCCGCACGTGGCAATGAAGATCCCACGTGCCTCAACTAAGACCTGGTGCAGCCAAATAAGTAAGTAAATTAATTAATTAATTAATTAATTAATTAAACCTAAGAACTAAAGACTGAGTTTCCTTGTTTCTTTGTTTGGAAGTATATGGAACCCTAGAAATAGAAGTTAACATGCAGTTACTATCTTTGAGCAAAATTATTTTCATTCCAAATATGTCAGTGTTTTCTAAATCCTACCTGTGAAAAGCATTATACTCTTTCC